TAATATTTATTACTCAATAACCAAACTTATAATCTATAATCTCAAACATTGAACTCCCTCATGTCAAGTAAATAGGAAAGATGTAATTTGTAATTTATAAAATGTAAACCACTCAATCACATTTTTCGTCATAGACTATAAGATAATGCTTCATGTTCTTGGTTCTGTTATTGCAAACCGATTCAATCAATTTTAATTAATGTGGTCAAGACTCGTATACCAATCGAATATTTTTTTGGTCGACATAATTATTTATCTAATAGTTTTGATATATATGAATCAAAATAATATGTTTTTTACTTATTTTATTTAATTATATTTTCAATATTTTCTATATATTGTAAAAAAATTAAAATCTAGTTATCGACGACAAAAATAAAATAAAAATCTAGTTATCAATACTAAACATTAAGACACAAAAAAAATCAGAAATATATAGGGTTTATTTGCCAACTAACACTATTGGATTAAGAAACAAAGAATATAGCCAACAACATAATTTATTTAAGTGACTAACAAATTAACCTAAAAATTGACTCTTCTACCTTTGCGTTGACGCAAACGATATGGCAAAAGTGGTTGACGTGTCGGTAGCTTTAACAAGCTTTGAGGCAACTTGACTTATGTTTCCGCTTTGGCTTTTCTACTCAGTAACATAAGCATAAACCATTAGAGAATTTAGATTAAACTACTACTTAAAATATATGTGCCTAATAAAGAGAGGCAAATAAGTTAAATCATGTGCAGAGGAGTATAATTCAGAGCAGTAAAAATGTCGGAGGATGAAATCCAAAAATGTGTTGTTATTTTCATAAAAGTTTATAAAATGCATAGATTATGCTATATGAACGTATAAAATAAAATAGACGGATTATAAATTATTGGTTGTATAATTTGATTTTTTAGGATAAGGGTTTATGTTTTCATTTAAAATATATTTAAATTTTTAGTCTCCAATTTTGGGTCTTAGTGTTCAATATTTAGAATCTGTTTTTAGAGTATTTTGTTAAGTTGGTAAATAGAATAACAATTTCATTCTATTCTATTTATCTTTTTTATATAGAATAGAACAATATATATAAATTAGTTACAACTATATATTATTTTACAATAAATTGATCTCCTTTTAAAGTTTTTCAAATCACAATATATGCGAAACGAAATTTACATTTTTTAAATATAATAACAAAATCAAATCACTATATAAGTGAAGAGATCAAATCAAATAAAAATAGATGAGATAAAAAAAAAAACAAGAAAGAGAGAGGGATTGCAGAGCAAGGTTATTTTCGAAAATATTATTGATATTATGCAAAATATGTTGTTATCTACCTAAATATAAATTGTTTGATGGCATCACGAAGATTTTTCCGTCCGTATCACTTTCAGCCTTGGGGCCATCATCGAGCAGAGGGACAAACACTACACAAAGCTTCTTTCCCTCCCAGTCACGACTGTTTATCCCAGAGAAAAAATGTCAGAAAACGATGAAAACGACAAGAAAATGGAAAGATCTAACCCTAACAAGCTCAAACTTGTAACCTTCACCGGAGCGGCTGGGCTGCTCGGACTCGCCGTTAGTTTCGCCGTCTTCGCTTACAAGTCTCACAAGGAAAAACATAAGAGGAAAGGTACTCTTTCGTCTTCTTTTCAGTTTCCATTGTCTTGATTCCGCCTTCTCTTATGAATTCGAGATTTTATAATGCCGTATTTGTTCGATTTTCTTTGGAAATCTAGGTCTTCCTGGGTGTGATACTGTCTGTGTTACCCTATCGGCGAGAGAGATACTCGATTTGGCTGATGAAATCATTTCCAAGTCCACGAGAGTTCATGATGCTCTTGCCTTGGTTCCTCTAAATAAGGTATTTGAGATTACTTGAAAGTGGAAACTCACTCTCAATTCAAGTTTTGTTGAAAAGATGGATTTGGACTTGATCTTCGTATCTTTGTTAAAATGCTTGTAGCTCTCTTATGAGAATGTTGTATTGCCGCTAGCAGAACTGGAAGCAAGACAATTCTCGCTTATACAATGCTGTGTGTTTCCTAAGATGTTATCTCCCCATGATAATGTTCGTAAAGCCAGTGCTGAAGCAGAGCAGAAAATCGACGCTCATATCCTCTCCTGCAGGTGTTCTGTGTTAAGTGTTGTTTATGAAATGCTGTTTTTGAATACCTGAACCACTTTCTTAATTCATATGAAACTAAATATCGTACTTTTGTGCAAGCTTATCAGGAAACGTGAAGATGTTTACCGGATTATCAAAATTTATGCTGCAAAGGGAGAATCAATTGCGCCAGAAGCTAAATGCTACCTACAGTGTCTGGTAATGAAAACTGAATCATGTGCTCCACCTATATATATTGCTCGGAAGGTTTTTACTATCCTATACATTACTTTATCACACAATTGAAGAGTTAAAGCTCTCTCAAATGTATAACGTCCTGCTGCTAACGCAATGTAGTTGTAATCTTTCTAACAACTGATATTAGAATACATTATTTTTTTGTAAATGTTTTCTCCCTAGAGTAGTTTTAATTATTTCTAAGCCGTTGGAATAATGAGCTTCCTTTCATAGCACATCTGCAAGAGTTGCTTGCAGACTTCTGTTGCCATTACTAAGCTGTGTGAGTGGAACGAAATTATTGATTTCTGTTTATCAGTGACAGGTTAGAGACTTCGAGGACAATGGTCTGAACCTTACTGCAAGAAAAAGAGAGGAAGTGGAGAGACTGACAAATGAAATTGACGAGCTAAGCTTGCGATACGTTCAGAATTTAAATGAAGATAGTTCGTGCCTGTTTTTTACTGAAGCTGAACTTGCTGGTTTGCCATTAGAATTTCTTCAGGTGTTGATCCTAATCAGCTTTCTCTGTTGCACACTAATCTGTGACCTTCTCTGTCTTGGACATGACATTTTCTGAACAATTTCTCATTTCTGCAATTCATCCTGCAGAGTTTGGAAAAAACTCAAAATAAAGAATTTAAGCTCACCTTGGAAAGTCGTCATGTGGCAGCTATACTAGAGTTGTGCAAGGTAAGAATTGCCCTGTACCTTTTTGATTGCCACACCACAGAAAAGGTGGAAGATACAGTTGCTTGCCAGGAATATTTCAACATCTCTATATGTGTCCAGGTTAATGCGTTAGAATCTGTCTTTGAAAATTTGGCTTTTGTTTTACACTTTGCAGATAGCCAAAACAAGGAAGACAGTGGCTATAGCATATGGAAAGAGATGTGGAGATGCCAATATTCCGGTTTTAAAAAAACTGGTACTTGTGCATCTGTTCTATAAACCCTTGACAGAAGCCTGCTGCACACTTCAATCAGTTGACTTTTTCTTATTCTCGTCTCTGTAGGTTCAGTCGCGCCATAGATTAGCTCGCTTACTTGGTTATGCACATTTCGCAGATTATGCTCTTGATCGTAGGATGTCAAAGACCTCAACGAGGGTTTGTGAAAGATCCTCAAGTGATTAGTTTTTCATTGTTCGTTATCTCGTTTGTACTGAAGCCCTTATTGTGTCCAGGTGAACAGGTTCCTGGAGGACATCTCTTCCAGTTTAACTGAATTGGCTATTAGAGAGTTTTCCATATTAGAAGACTTAAAGGTAGAATATAATGTTGGTATTTCATGTATAAAGTGATGCCTTTCTCAGTACTTAACTTTTGGGGTTCTAATATCAGAGGAAAGATGAAGGGGAGCTTCCGTTTGGCGTAGAAGATCTTTTATATTATATAAAGAGGGCAGAGGAGTTGCAGTTTGATCTTGATTTTGGGGATATCCGACAATATTTTCCCGTCAGTTTGGTCCTTCCCGGGGTCTTTAAAATATGTCAGGACCTTTTTGGTGAGTTTAGGGGTCTTAATAATTTTTTCTGCTTTGCTATGTTTACTATTTATTTGTTTGTTTCATCTTTGTCATAGCTTGCTGACCAATCTTATGATTTCCATGCAGGAATAAAAATTGAGGAGGTTACAGAAATTGATGTCTGGTATTATGACGTGCGAGCTTTTGCCGTCTTTGACTCCGGATCTGGAAAGCTTTTGGGTTATTTCTATCTTGACATGTTTACAAGGTCCATTATCAATCTTAGTTCATCATCCGCTTTGCTTTCAGACCCTCCATTTTGTTTTGAGTTGTGAGCATATTTTGTTGGACAGGGAAGGGAAATTTAGTCACAGCTGTGTGGTTGCTCTTCAGAATAATGCATTGTTCTCCAATGGTGCATGTCAGGTGACAATTCTACATCCTTGTCAGACCTTTATCTTGAAGTTTCATGCAGTTCGAAATATAAATCGATATTGGGATCTTGTGGGGATGTATTTAACGTGTTAATAATCCTATTTTGGGTTCTTTCTTTTTTGTTTCTGTTTCTGTCTCCAGATTCCGGTGGCGTTGCTTATTGCACAGTTTGCAAAGGATGGTGGTGGTGAAGCTGTGCCATTGGGATTCTCTGAGGTGGTTAATCTTTTTCATGAGTTTGGTCATGTGGTACGTGAATGAGATTTGATTAATTGGAAGAGTGGAATAAATCATGTTGTATATATGAACGGATGTTAAGAGCTGATGTTCCTTGCTAACCTTTGGCAAATAGGTTCAACATATCTGCAATCGCGCTTCATTTGCTAGATTCTCTGGCCTTCGTGTTGACCCTGATTTTCGGGAGATCCCTTCTCAATTATTGGAAAATTGGCAAGTAAATTTATAGTTGTTTTATTCTTTCTGTATTATTAACACAAATCCTCACTGATGGAATATGATTTTGGTATCTCTAGGTGTTACGAGAGTTTCACCTTGAAGTTAATATCAGGTTTTCGTCAGGTGAGTGCTTTTTACAACGAAATTGTTGACAATTTTTCTCTGGTCAACTAGTTATAATAATTTGGTTGGACTTGGGATTGATTCCTGTTTCCCTTTTAGACTGTGACTGATTTATTTAATTCACTGGACTTGCAGGATATCACCAAGCCACTTGTGGATGAAGTCTGCAAAACACTTAAACGTTGGCGATATTCTTTCTCTGCACTCAAGTCGCTTCAGGAGATATTATATTGTGAGAAATCTCTGAACATTTCAGTTTGATTTATTGCAGTTTATTCACTTAAACACCTCGAAATTGAGTTTTTCATTTTGAGTTAGAGGAAGCTAAAGTTCACTAAGAGGCATATTAGCTGTGTAAGAAGCTCATGATAAGGTTAAATGTGGCATCGACTAATAATGCTTAAAACATTGATGATCAGGTCTATTTGATCAAAAAATATATTCGGACGATGATGTTGACTTTGTCCAGCTAATCAGGACTCTCCATCCGAAGGTAAAAGCAGAAACTCTCAAAGCATTCTGGTTTATTTACGGGGAGTAAAAATTGTTGTTATATGTAG